AATGGAAAAGAGTGAACTGCCCATCCTACAATGTGCAGCTCTGGAGCAGAACCAACATCTAGAGATATTTCTATCAAAGTACTTTCATTAGTTTATTTCTATGAAAACTCTCATGAAGAAACTGTAACGGAGCAGGACCCTATGCGGGCCTTCCCGGGACAGGCCTTCCCCCATATCCTCTGCCTTAGCTCCTCTCTGAATCACCTAGATTTGATGCAAATTTCCCGAGTTGTTTTGCAGATGTGAAAACCCCCCACCAAATGGAAGAACTACTTGATTACCCTAAGTAGTTTTTCTCAGGCCTCCTGGAGCCTAAGGACTCATAATGTTAACCCCTGTGACACCACCCTGCTGCCTCACCATCAGCCAATCAGAGAATTGTGCACAAGCTGATCCCGTACCCTGTGACCCACCCCCACTCCTGGTCTTTAAAAATGCTTTGGCAAAACCATTCAAGGAGCTCGAGGCTTTTCAGGGCATGAGCCACCTTGTCTCCTTGCATGGGCTTGCGGTAAACCTCTCTCTGCTCCAAACTCCGACGTTTCAGTTTGTTTGTCCTCACTGTGCGTCGGGCACACGAATTTGTGTCAACAATATTACAATTAAACCACACTTAAGGATTATTTCTATTGGAATGAAAAAAATTACACAAAGGCTAGTGGCAATTCATTAAATAAACATTAGAGAGGAAGAAAGGAATGAAGGGGGAGGGCTGTTTTAGGCATTAGGCATGTAGTCATGAACAACTCAGAATCCTCATGTTCCCTGAGCTTATATCTGAGTGGGAGAGTCACAAAATGAACCAAGTGGGCTTCCCTGGTGGCGCAGCGGTTGAGAGTCCGCTTGCCGATGCAGGGGACACGGGTTCCTGCCCCGGTCCGGGAACATCCCACATGCTGTGGAGCAGCTGGGCCCATGAGCCATGGCCGCTGAGCCTGCGCATCCGGAGCCTGTGCTCTGCAACAGGAGAGGCCACAACAGTGAGAGGCCCGCGTACCGCCAAAAAAAAAAAAAAAAAAAAAGAACCAAGTAAGTAAGTACATTGCATGAGATAGTGGTTAAGTGTTCATGAAAAAAGAAAGCCTGGAATTGGACATGAAATGAGATATGAGGGAGTAGAAATTTTAGATCCAGTGGCCAAGGAAGGCCCCTGTAACTTAAGAGTAAAGGCCAGAAGGAAAAGAGAGAGCTGCGGCCACGAGGATGCCTGGGGAGAAACACTGAATACAGAGGAATAGGGACTATCGGAGCCCTGAGACAGAGGTGTCCTGAGATTGCCCAGAGGGAAGGAGGCCAGTGTGGCTGGAAAAGACTAAGTGAGGGGGAGTTTTCGGAGATGAGGTCGGAGCAGCTGCGTCTGGACTCCTAGGCTAGCAAGGAGAATGACTTTTAACTCGGAAGATGGGAAACCATGAAAGGATTTTGAATTGAGGAATGACAAGACATGGATTACATTTC